GAGAGAGAGAGAGAGAGAGAGAGAGAGAGAGAGAGAGAGAGAGAGGAAAAAAGAAACCGCACACCAAACTTTTCCTACTTATGGAGGATGTGTGACAAGGTCTAGTTCCCTGACTGTGAAACCCCTAGGCCCTCCTGTCTATCCTCCATAACCATGAAGACACTCAAGGGTAGGGAACCTTTGGCCTCGAGGCCACATGTGGCCCTCTGGGTCCTCAAGTGCAGCCCCTTGGTTGGGCATGGGCATGGGGGTGGAGGGTGGTGCCTGAAACTCACAGCATAGTGGACAGAGGAATACTGGACACCCTAGAGTAAGCAGGGCAGGAGTGGATGGATGAGCCCCCTTTGGGGGCTGTCTCTGGACACACTGTGACTGGTGGGTGACGGAAGCAGTGGACAGCCTGGTGTGACATGACACTCGAGCCACAGAAATGGTTTTGAATATTTTATTGGCATTTCTGGGGTCGCATTCAGGAACCACAAACTTCTGCCAGGCTCTGCTAGCTCAAATGACATGAAATACGGGTGAGGAACTTGAGAATAATTGGCCTCCACCTCCTCCGATCCCTCCAGACCCCCTCGCTCCGCTGGGCGTTTTCAGCGCACCTGGCCCGCCGTAACAGGGAGTCAGAGCTGGGGGCACTCTGCTGCCGAGCAGGGAGACCGGGCGGGGGGCTCATTACGCCCATGCTTTAGGGTCGTTTATCTCGATGCCTCCCAGCGGCTACGATCCACGCGGCGCTGAGTCCGCACGCGCATACACCCCACCCGCAATAAATAAGGAGCAGCGAGGGGCAGGAAGCACATTCCTAAGGGGTCCCCGGGGATCTAGCCCCCGGCGGGCGCAGCGCCTCAGCCGCACGCGATCCTCCGGGGCGCCAGCTGGGCCAGGGCTCCTGGCTATTACACACAGCGACGAAGTGGCTAAAAGGCAACAACGAAATCCAGGAAGGTCTGGTTTCCCCTCGCCCCGCTTTTTACTGGGAGACATAAATGCAAAGTGTAGGGACGCGCCGGCTGTGTATGGGCTCACGGGCAGCGGGGATGGGCAGGGGGCACGCGAAGCAAGTCACGGTAACACCAGATCCACGCAGAACACGGGACACCCCACAGGCACACGCCCAGCCCTGCGGGAGAATGGGCGTGCGCCCGCGAGCCAGCCGGCCGGCTCGTCTCTAGGCAGCCAGTTCCGCGGCCCCTTCCTCCTCGCTGTCGGCTCTGTTGGCGCGGATCTCCACGAGTGTCCGAGCAAAGCGGGTCCATTCATCATTGTGAGGAACAGCAAGCTGGGGGAAAAGATACGTGGGAATTTGAAAAGGGGCAAGTGAGATGCCTTCCCCACCAGGACCCCCCCCCCGCAGGCTAGTCTGAGCCTCTCCCCAGGAGGCCAGCGGCCCTCGGGCTCCCGAGAGAAAGGAGCAAACGTTTTCTTCAAAAGCTCAGTCGCTTTTCCATCCGTCCGTCCGTGTCCATGTGTCACGGAGGGGGTATGTTCAAATGAATGAGGTGCACCTTCCCTAAGGTGTGGTAGGACAGGGTTCGAGTCACTCTAGAGAACGCTGCCCAGGTCTGAATGCCAAGTCGCTGACGGCCAGTGCTAGCTTCCGACCTCGGCCACCAACCTGATCCTGACCTTGGCAGTGGACCTGGGGCCACAGCCGCCCTTCTCTCTCCAGACTCCATCCTATTGAATCATGGACCCAGGATTCTGAGCATGGTCCACAACGCTAGGAGCTGTGTCAGCTCACCTTAGTCCCTTATGGTGACTGCTGATTGATGAGGCAGAAGTAAAAAGGGGCTTATAAGAAATCACCTGCATCAGAACAGCTTCCTCTGTGCACAATTCCAAAGAGAGAGAGAGAGAGAGAGACAGAAAGAGACAGACAGAGAGAGATGAATGCAAATTACCCGTGTAAATTCTTGTGGGCTGTTTTAAGGACGGTGATATTTCCCTTGATGGAATCCAAAAAAGAACTGCTTAAAGATATGCAAGTGTTTGGAACAGAAAAGAGAATTATTTGAAAATGAGAACCAGGCTGGAATAGTAGTTGGACTGATGCCTTAAATGCCATTTCTATGGAAGCCTGCCCTCTGCTCATCCCAGGCGATTTGGCTACAGGTGCTCTTGGCCAAACTCGAACTCAGTCTGAGCCTTGTCTCTATAAAGAAGTCAGCACTTTTATGAAAAGCCCCAGCTTTTCATTCCCTGGCCCAAGTTTGAGCTCTCTGAACAGGCAAGGAATGAGATTGTCCGTTTTCTTGCCACCAGCAGCTCCTGAAGGCTGGACATGAGCAAACTCCAGCAAAGCCCACGGCAGCATCCACATTCTAGTGCAAATTTGCGTCTCCACGATGATTCTGGAGGTGCTAGGCAGCACAGCATAAGCACTTGGATTTTAGAATGTAACCATGGAGTGGTTAAAAAAACAAACAAACAAACAAAAACAAAAACAAAAAAACAACCAAGCAACCAGGAATTGTGATCAGCATGTAAAATTTTTCTTTGGCCAAACACTTACCTGGGTCATGGCAACAAGGCACAGTCTCCCTCTTCACCCTGGTTCGAGTTCACTATGGTATTGAATGACATGGCAGCCCCCCCCCCCATCCATTTCTCTGTACTGAGTGCTAGCCCCATTTTCCACAATTCTGCATTTTTCTCTTCAATTTGGGAAAATACTACACTCAGGAAATGAGGCCCCAGAAGTGAGTAGTTGAAAAAAAGGGCTGACAGAAAGCATATGGAGAAAAGGGCTGATACCGTATTTCTATGAAAAAGCAGGTCTACCCCCAAACGACTAAAATCTAAAACCTAGGCCTGAGGAGGGGAGCACAGCCAGCCCACATCTACTGAAGCTCCGTTCTGACAACTTCCTCAGAACTTGCAGGCTCAGTGTCTGGGGCTTCCCAGGCAAGGCCCCCAGCCCCCACCCCCACCACACCTAGAGAGTGACTCAGACAGGCAAGCCTGCCAGCTTCTCCAAGAGCAGCCATGGTCCGTGAGACCGGCACTCACAGTGGGCAGGGTGGTCCACTTTACCCTCCCCTAAGGTTCCCCAGCATAACACTACTCATTTGAAATTAGGCACAGAAATGACTCTGCATGAAGACAAAGGACCAGGAAAGGTCAGTGTGCAGTCCCTGTTGGAGCCATCAATCAAACATTTATTAAGCACTTACTGTGTTTCAGGCATTGTTCTAAGATGCAAGGACATAGAAAGAATTAAAAAAAAAACTGCATAGAAAGCAGTGTAAGTTGGGAGGAAGGGCTCTAGGTTTTCTGCCAAAGGTGGGGTGTGATCTGATTCACTGAGGCAGAGATAGGAAGGGAGAGTCCTGTCCTGACATGGAGACCAGGCAGGAGTGCAAAAGTGTGGAGATGGGAGGCAAAGCTAAAGTGAGGTATGAATGGGTGTGCAAAGGATGTCAGGTTGAATACTGCCTGCACTAGGGAGAAGGAGCATGTTTAGCTTTTAAAAGTGAATTTGATAAACTTAAAATGTTCCGTCTAAAGCAGCCTTTGCCACTGGTGACATTTTACTCCTGACAATCTAAGTTTCTAGTTTGAGGGTGGGTGAGGAGAAGCACATGAGGAGAGACTCATGATATCTTCCCAGTAGGAGATCCAGGGCCATCCACAGCCTCCTAGGAGGCTGCCCTCAGTTCCCAGCATGCCCCAGAGCGTGCCTGTGGGCTTCTCGCTTGGGAGCCACCCATGCTGGGAGGCTGACACTATCCTGGGCTTTGCTCCCATTCTTTTTCTTAACAAGCCCTCCTCTGTCCCTCCCTAGTCCACAGTAGAATGAATTGGAGCCTGAATCTCACGCTGGTTCAGTGTGGATCTTTCTAGAGACACCAAGCAGCCTTCTGATCTGTAAAATATTTGTTACCACCCTTCTCTGATGAGATAAATGTTTTCAGAATCTGACATGAGCAAACTGTGGGCAAAACAATTTGGGAGCTAAGTCTCACCGTGGCGGTGAATGTGAATTCACAGCCACGTGTGAGGCCAGAAGAATGCAGTCGTTTGTCTGAGAGGACTGTCTTACAGAGGAGAGGACAGGCTCTGTGTTCTTTCTGGGGTACTGTCCATTTTACAGATGAGGAAACTGAGGCAGACAGAAGTCAATTGACTTGTCCAGGGTCACACAGATTGGATTCGAATCTAGCTCTTCCTGATTCCAGGACCTTTGTATCACCAGCTGCCTTATGTCACCCTTGTCTGAGTAACGCTTATCCTGATCTCCAGCTTTCCAAATAATTTAGTGCTGCAGGAGGATTGGAGGGGCATTGCATTAATGACAATAAACATTTCCATCTCAGCAAAAACATTAGTAGGGGGCGGCCAGTGCCACCTCCCCCCCGCCCCATTCCCATGAGTGAGTTCAAGCAGCAGCCTGTTGGATTCCTGGTGCCATGTTGGAGCCTGGCCCATGCCACAGAGGGAGGGAGAGCCCTGCTGGAGGAGGGAGGTCAGGCTCATCAAACAGCTGTCTTCTCATGTCTTCTGCTTCTTCGAGGTCTATAGAGGTGAGGTCACAGAATGTCACAGTTGGGAGAGACCTTAGGAAACCATGGCTAGAGAGGGGAAGTGAATGCTAAGCTCACGCAGATTGTCTGACAGAGCTAGGGCTAGAAGGAGGGAGGGCAAAAGGGACATCTCCTCCCACGAGGACACTTGGATTCTCTCACACCTTGCATGCCCTTGACGGGAGCTCCAGGCTTCAGGCTCTGAACATGCAGCCAGGAAGGGCCAGGACAAATTGAAGAGCACACCACAGTCTGATCAAAATGAGTTCCCAACCTCTAAAGCTTGGGAGAAGGGCAACAAAAAGATGGCTGCCGGTGTGTTTGGGGACAGCTGAGAGAGGGCCTTGGCCTGGCGAGGGAGAGGCCGCACTGCCCAGGCCAAGGCAGAGCTGCCGGCTCCATGAGCACACTGCTTCTGAGCTCGCTGCTAAGCAGAAGGACTTTGATGTGACTCTGCATAACGCAGAACAAACATGGCGGATCCCCAAGGCAAGTAAGGAAACAGTCAGAGAGCTCTTGGCATTGAGAGCTGGGTATGAGGCCTGAAGATGTGTGACAATGAGGTGCCTCCCTCCTCTTCTTCCTCTCCCTCCTCCTCCTTCTTCCCTTGCTTCCTCATTCCTCTCTCCGATAGAATTCCCCTCTGGAAACCTCATTGGATCACAGATTCAGAGCTAGAAGGGGGCCCAGAGGTCAGCTGGGACACGGTAGGCCATGACAGGGCTTTGTGTCTCTTGGCCAGAGGGTCCTGGGTAGATTCCTCCTGTACCCAGATTAGCACAAGATCACCAACCAGGCAGGGCTAGAAGGGGAGGCCACTTCAGCAAAGACTTCACACATTTGCTGACGCGTGACTGACTGAGCTGAGTTTGAAGACAAGGATGCCAACAGGTGCCAGTGGAGACTTGGCCCCATCAGGTGAGACCAGGGACCGGAGCAGCAGTATCGAGCTTACAGATTGGCCAGAAGTCCATTTGGACTGGAAGCCATGGGGCATGAGTCTGGGAAGGGGGCTGACGCTTGGGTTTTATTTCACCCTAGAAGGACTATAGCGCCTCCGAAGGTCTGTGAGCAGACACTCGGGATGGACTGAAGGTGAGTCTTTAGTAAGCAGCTCTCAAAGGCTCTGCAGAAATGGGCGTGGCTCCTGGTGGGTTTTTCCATACAACTGGAAACAAAGCACTCGATGGGAGGAGGGTCTTCACTATGAAAATTAGGAGCAACCTTTCTTTCCCCAGGCCTTTCCCAAAGGATCCTCAAGTTTTCCATCTGGTGAGGAGGTCATAAGAATCGTGAGGTGAAAATCATGCCAACCCCTGTTGTGAAGGACCCTCCCCCTAGGGCCTCCCTATGGTCCCTTTGGAGACTTTCTCGTGTCCGTGACACTCATTGCACACAGCTCTCCTCTTTGAGAAGGTCCAATGTAAGAGATCAATAGATATGTTTTTCTGTATGTCAGTACATGTACACACATATAGGCACGCATATCCTCGAACACATACATGCACGCAAACACGTCCACACATGTATACAAATGTGTTGTGCATACATGTAGACACCGTATAACGTGTCCACATGAACATGTGTATATACACATGTCCACATCCATGCACTGCATAAATGCATGACCCTCCCACAGGATGATCCTCCAGCAGCCTCCTCAGTCTGGAGGCTTTCTCATGCCCTTACTGACTACTGCACACTGCTCTCCCCTTAGACAAATATGTATGTAAATATGCATATACAAATAGATGTA